GTTGACAAATAAATATGAGAAAAATAAGTGCACTCTCTATATCCCACACGCTCTCTTTCTTTCTCCTGCCCCGATTCGCTCTCCTCTGCTATGTCCCTCCCCCTCTTTGTTCTCCCAATTCCCTCAACCCCTCTCTCCTCTCCTTTCCCCGGTTCCCTCAACCTGTCTCTCCTCTCCCTTCCCCCTTCTCTTCCCTCACCCCTCTCTCCTCTTCCTATCCCTCTTTACTCCTCTTGTTCTCTTATCTGCTCTCTTCTCTTCCACCCTCATTCATGTTTTATTCATTGTCTTTGGTGTTTATTTCTCCCGTCCCTTTCGTCTCCCCATTTACTCTTTTTTACTCTTTCTTTGTAGGTGCCACTATTTATGTGTGAGTCATTCATCCTTCTCTATTAACCCAAAATATTTGTCTCTCCATTTCCACCCTTATGCTAGATTGGTGGCGGTCGAGATCCTTGTTGAATTGTCAGTGAAGTCTTTATGCAAGTTTAAGACAAAATCAAAATCATGGCAAGGGTTGTTAATCCTAACGCCACTTTGTCATGACCCATTTTTCTAGTGGCCATTCTTTTTCTACCTCCCATTCTCTCTCTTCATCCAAAAATGAACTATCCTCATTGCAACTAAGGCGCACTTTAGTACTTCACACTTAGTAGGAGCAAAGTTTCAATATGCAGGTTATATTGAACATGTAACCTACCATAATGGCATAGCATGCATTATTATACATTCGAAAATAGAACGTATTTTCTTTGTTACAAGAATCCCTTATGGCAAAACGAATTTCTTTGTATACCAAAACCAGAGTTTACGCTACCTAAATTCAGATTTTACTATGACCCCATCAACTAAAAGTTCAAAATAATATCATATATTCAGGTTTACAGTGAAACCAACATAATGGCAAATACCAATGACAAGAAGGTTGTCATTCTCATCTATGATTCATCGCTTCAGAAATGGAGATCACTAAGAAATGATCCTACCTATACAAATGAATTATACAAGCTACTTGGTGTGTATTCCACTTGCTATGTGCTTTCTTTCTTTTGACAATGATGAGAGGTGCATTTCATTGGGTCTTGAAATGGATACAGAAAAGTGGAGATCTTTTCCTACTCCAGAAAAGATTGACGAGCATGGCTTCTTCAACTTCCAAGAGAAGGGCGGCAAGCTTTGTCTAATACAGGCTATGCTGATCTAGATTTGCTGGCACAAGAAGCACAAATTTGGGTTAACCATGAAGAAGAGATAAGAGTACAAGAAATTAATGGAAGAAAACTTGATGCAAGTGATATCCAATAGATTGAGGATCAAATTTTCATACTCTAATATTATTGTAGATGTTTGGGTTGGTGACGCATTAAATGTGGAAGTGATGGTTAGGGGTGAGGAACCATAAGCGGAACGTTACTTGGTGCTATTGGATTATGACACAAACACTCACGAATTAGGTGAAGTTCTTGATGGTGAAAGTGGATTGATTGCATTGTACCCTATTCACACACCACTAGTAATATTCATGAAAAATACATGTGGCATAGTGCATGAGCTAGGGTTGCTTTCTTTAAGTACAATAATCTCTTGTGTTGTCTTTGTAATTAAATATGAAGGAGATGCTAGTCTTTTGTCCTTGTGATTGAATATGTAGGAGAGTTTCATTTGTATGTTGCCAAGTATTACCAAGAGTGGCTCGTTTCAACTTTTTTCTCTGTCATCTTATATCATGGATAAGCAAGCGACTCTTAACCTCACTCTTGTTACTCTTAGCACCTTGCAATTGGCTCCATCCTGGCCAGGTTTGGTGCTCCGCCAAAGAAAGGTTATAGTAGATATGTAGCATGCAATTTCCTGCTGTTGTTGAATGGTTGTGGCAATCGATTGATTTTTGCAATATTTTATGAAGATGTGTGGTTGGTACTTTAACATTTCATTGCAGCCCCATCAAACCATTTTTCTTTTATCTATCGACGCAAAATCTAGCATAAGTAGCAAGCAGAGATGAATAAGTGAACAAGTTTCCCCATGCCATATGAGACGTACAAGTACATTATGTGTCCACACATGTAAAAATTACAAACCCATCAATGCATTTTAAAACATTTAAACTCATCACTCTCCCTTGCAACCAAATAAGTGAACTTCATAGTCCATTCATTGTAGCTAATCCCCTTATATCTTTGACAACCATTTGACAACCAAAAGGACATAAAAGGAAGGATCATAAACTTTAGTTACTCTTTAAAATGGAACAGGGAATGATCATCCATTATACTTGTTCAAGTGAAACTTGGTAACCATATTCACGAATCCAATGATGTTATAACCAGAACTGCCTCGCTCCACCTTTGTGCATCCTTCCTCACCTTAGCACCTGTCCACCTCTGTATAAGAGCTTCAACTGTCTCTTTGAACCACTTTTCTGCTGTAAAATTCAGCAGAATACACTGTTGATTTTGTTAGAAAATTGATATAATTTGATCTCAAGATGACATAACACAACATAACAAAACACTAGAAAACATGAATCTGTGCACAATATGACATTAGACAACAATACAAAACAATGGGTTATTCATTGCACCCAAGTTATACGTATTTTTGTGATTCGAATATCCCATGTTTGCATTGCCAGAAGCTAGCAATTAGCTCTTGTTCCATATTTAGGTACCAGGCCTAGATGCCTAAAATTTTGCTCCATAATTACACACAAAATTTGACAGAAGGCCAAATTTCATAACAGAGCTGAAAGTATAAAACCTTACCCATTATTATCCAACAAAGACAATAAACGCAGATATTATCTTTAGTACACAAAAAATGAAAGATGAAATGCAAAAACAGAGAGAGAGAGAGGAGATGAGAGCAATGAACGCCGAAGACAAGGAATGAAATGCAAAACAGAGAGAGGGGGAGTCTTGCTGCCAGTTCAGTCAATAACATTTTCATTTTTTTTACGTCAAAAATAGAAGGTACCTAGGCCAATTTGCCCATGTTCGGATGACAACCAACACGGATGCCCTATGGGTCTTGGTTGAGCTGACAAGTGACAACTATGTATTTGACCCACCGAGTTCGGAAACCCTGCTTAAACGGACGAGTGTTTTAAAACCCAAGAATTTCTCATCAATACAGGTGGGGATCAGTCGGACCCAAACGGTTTTGGGATTGTATGGGTCGGGGCCCAGTTTTCACCTGAATCACTCATTGGAAGAGATCTGGGGTCAAAATTTTGAGATATTTTAGCTCGAATTAAAAATATATACTGGGTTTCTTACTCATTATTTGTTCAAATTAGTTCAAGTCATCACTTTAAATTTGTCGATGATTTATGATCCAAATTATCAATTCAAATAAGGATCGGTTTGGACCGAACCAATTTTGAGATTGTATGGGTTGTGACCCAGTCTGCACCTTAAAGCCCCCGTTCGAAGAGATCTAGAGTCGGGATCTTTTAATCCAAACTAAAAATAAAAAAAAAATAAAAAATTGATTTCTTATTTATTATTTGTTCAAATTAGTTCAAATTTGTCATAAGATGTTCGTATCATATCGATCTATAAAATCTCACTAGTGTTCTTCTTTAGTGCATTGCAATGGATCTTTTTGCCATGTCCAAGAGAGACCCATTTTGGACAAGATATGAGGGAATAGTAGCTATCTCATATGTTTGGATGCCTTTCTCATTCAGCGTCTCAAAGGCATTCACGGCTTGATTTTGAAGGAAGGGAAAAGTTTATATAGAGTCGAGGCTCTAAACAATCAAATTAGAGTCTTACTTCAAAATTTTTATTAGAAGAGGCTGCTTTGATGCTCAAATATCCTCAAATTGATCATCTCGACGTTAAGATGCATAGACATGGGAAAAAATGGATTTTAAGTTTTAGAAATAATATATTTTATAACACATTTTTAGACGGTTAATTTTCAAGTTTTCATAAATCACTCGATCTACACTATTTTTGAAGCTTTAAACTGTATAAATAAAAATAAAAGTATATTTTAAAGTTATCAAAAAGATTTTCACTATTAAAATCACATTTCTCGACGTTATTTCAAGGTAGGCTCTATACTAGCCACACCCTTTTAGGAGTAACCCTCTAGGGTGCTATGATGAGCATGCCAATCTAATTATACCATAGCATCCGATCAACTGAAAGGCCTTCAATTTGCTTTTGATTTACCCCCCCCGAAACCCCTTAAAAAAGCCCTCAATTTACTGCTTGCAGTTCTCCTCTGCTCGCGCACAGGTACTCTCTCATGCCTCTCTCTCTCTCTC